CTTTAATTTACATATTTGTTTTTCGTTTATTTTTGTACATAAAATAGGCCGCTAGTTTTTCTCGTTTGAATTGTATTACATTTGTCATTTCGGGGCCTTTTATAGCTGACTATGCGGTATGGGCTGTGATCATTGTTGAAGGCCGTACGGTGACCTATAATTGTTAATTTCTGTGTCATTTGGTTTCTTGTAGAGAATTGCGTTTTTGAACAAACCAGCGTATCCCAAAGCCTTGATAACCTCTGTAGGCCCAAATAAGACGAAAAAACATCAAAATTGGAGAGAAAACTGAAAATAAATGGTTTCTAACCTCAGGGATATTAACCCTTGGCATGCTGAATTGTTATCAGAAATTGTCTAAATTTCGAGTATTTGTAAAAATATGCAAATGATATGCAAATGAGCTGTACCCTGATGCTGATGCATACTGATTGCATTAAATCTAAGATAGCCAAGGGTTAATTCAGTAGTTGTCATTTGTTGCTGTGTTACATATTCCTTTTCGGTCTTTGTTTGTACATTATTAAAACCGTTATTTTCACTCGTTTGAATTAAATTATTAAATAGCTGTCATGTCGGGGACTCTCCCTCTGGTATCTTTCGTCCCTCTTTTATAGCTGACTATGCGGGGGCTTTTCTCATTATTGAGGGCATTATGATGACCTATAGTTGTTAATTTCTGTGTCATTAAGTCTCTTGGCAATCATAATACATATTCTTATATATATATAGCGATGTCGTTGTTACGACATGTTATGTCGAAATAACGACATAGCGATGTCGTTATAACGACATGTTATGTCGAAATTACGACATAGCGATGTCGTTATAACGACATGTTATGTCGAAATTACGACATGCTATGTCGTAATTACGACATAATTTTTTTTTTTTGAATGGCCCTTATCGGCTTCCGTATAAAACTCCAAAGCTCTGGCCGATAGTATAAAAAAGATATTTTCTTTAAGCTCCATCTGAATTTTTTTTGAATGGCCCTTATCGGCTTCCGTAGAAAGCACATATCAATAAAGATGTGTGCATTCTGTACAGTGTTTCCCTATGTATAGAAATCAAAAGTAAAATGATGATAAATTACGAACAGACAGTAAAATTAACCTTAGTTAACTAGTAAAGGTAATCTAGCTTAACCAGTAAAACAAATGCAACGTATCTTTTTTTAATATGAACTTCACTCCAATAATCTTTAAAGTGAAGCCAAAGCATAAACAATGTTTTAAACAAACAATAGTCTGATACCCAGACAGTCAGCGAATTAACACAAGGGAAATGAACTGCGCCCTTGAAAAGATTAAAACAACAACAAAAAAACAGTGATAAAGCATCATCAAATTTTTACTCCTTTCCATTACCATTTAATTCATCTCATTCTATCTATGTTTATCATATAAAAAAAAACAGTATTCATTAAAATAAGAATATAGAATAGATAGAGAATGCGTATTATGCAGATTATGTTAAAGCCTCATTGAAACCCGTCTGCGTCCGTTTGAGAAAGGTTCGGAAATTGGGATTTAAAAAAGTCCAAAACACTAAAAACATGAAACAGGATACGGCTCTTATGCCTAATCATCTTACATATAAAGTCATTACAGTTCTTTGTCTTAAACATACAATCAAGAACACGACAAGAGAGAATGATTCAAAAGAAAAGAACGCAGCATGTAAAGTACCCTTAATGCACTGCGTCTGACAGTTCCTTTTCTGAACTTCTGAAATGGAACTGCATAAATTATGTAACTTCTAATAGGTGATTTATGGTGCTTTATGTAGGGGGTCACTAGGTGAAGTACATGTATATCTTGAATTTATAAAGAAATATTAATTAAAATCGACAAATATCAAAGTTCAAATATGATATGGAGATTGTTTTCAGTGAGTAAATTGTCTTTCGTGACGTTTACGCTTTTAGTGCGACAAATTTCTATGTCGGTAAATAAAGACAAAGTTTTGTTATTGATTTACGATAATAGGTAAAAGTGGGGTGATGGATTTATTGAAGTGGGGTCAGACAAGAGAAAAAATAAGAAAATTCACAAGTTAAAGTAATGAAAAGAAGATCTTTGAGTACAAAATAATATTGTGAATTTAATATAAAGAATTACTTTCTCTTAGCAAATATTGAACTTGCAGAAAATTTAGTTATTGTATTAAGAATATTATTTACTCATAAGATATGTAAAATACATAGGTCAATACAGGATTACGTAGTATACAATTAAAATTTCTAGTGTTAAAAAAGATTTACTCGACATATCTAAATTAAAGCATTCACTGAAGTCCTTGATACTTGAGTACTAAAAAATGTAATATCAAGTACGATAAAATGTTAACAAATACAATCAGTACGTTTAAATATTGAAATAAAAATACACTTGTCGTCCTGAATTCTTATATATATATATATACCAGTTACTTTCAAAATTAGAACGTTTAAACATATTTGAAAAGTATTAAAACAATATTTTAATATACTCATTATCACCTCAAATTGGAGTGTTCCACTTGATAGACGTCTTAAGGGAATCGCATGTCAATGATTTGAAACATTGCACATGTAATTTGTAAATAACATTTCATAAATACTGTTTGTACATAAAACAGTTGAAGAAATACAAAAATGAACTAAAAAGGAGGGGGTCAAAATCACCATTCCGACTAAGACAAAACACGAACAAGACAAACCAAAAGACAGATGCCGGGACAAACAAGAAAAGGCACTTACAAACAGCGAATATTTAAAACTGAATATCTGTACCATACGAATACTATCAAAACCGGTTTGGTATAGAGAGTAATAATCTTTTCTCGCACGCGACGATGGCCATGTTGTCAGTGCCAATATCGAGTCCAACTAGTTAAGATCAAATAGGAGGTGAAGCACTTAGGGAAATATCTTTGGTCGTTCGTAACATATTCACCTGAAAATGATTGAAAATACGTAATTGATATCATTAAAATTGTGTAGCTTTATCAGTTATGGCTATATAAAACACCGACTGATTGTTACTCATCTAAATTTGAAAAGTCGGATTCTAGTATCTCGAAGTTAACGACATGATTCTATTGATGGGTTGATATCATAGTGAGAGTATCTATGCTATAGTGTTCGCAGTGTATATCGTACTTTTCCCCTATTTTTGTTTGTGTCACTGGATGCATTTGTGCAGGATTAGCCATATTTGTCCTTAGTGGATAAGGCTTTAGTTATCGATTCTGTATAACTTGAATTCCTCCCGGTTTTTGATGGAGTTCGTTTTGCTTAAATCATTAGTTTACTGATTAGTATTTTGTGTACTGTTGTTTGTCTGTCTGTCAGTTTTCTGTTGACCTTGGAGCCGTTTTGTATTTCATCGGCATCCGATTTGTATGTGCTCTCCTGGTATCTTCTTACTTTTTTAAATTAAGAGTTAGTCCTGTAAACCTAATATACTGAACTATACTGTTGCACGGAAATAAACTTTTTTTAACTGATTGCGTTGTTTACTATCGATTCTCATGAATAACTAATTATTTTTTTATTTGCATAGCTACAAACATTTGAATGTGATTGCTCTGCTGTGGTTTTAACTGAGACTACTATAACACGTCGCAGGTTTCAACTAGACCATGTTGCCGAAACTAGGTACTTTCGTAATCTGTTTGAATTCACTTCGATATATCCATGTGAGATACCCATGAATGGAATCTTTGGGTTCATAGAAAGTTGAAATTGAACTAAAATATAAACAAATTGTTTGTGTTGAGAATTATAAGTATTCAATACATTTTTCTTGATGTGTTAACTAGGCCGATTAAATCAAAACTGTGTTAAAGTCCAAAATAACCACAATGAGATTACATAGGTTACGAAAGTAGTTTCGGCAACAATATCTATCGAAGTGTAAACCAATGAGAACATTCCTATTATATCTTTTAAAACATTATCGTTTGGAGACTTATGAGAAATTTAGAAAAAAAAATCAATGTTTTACAATGGAAGTATCATCTTTATCTTGTTGCAAAATAAATTTTCGATGCAATTAAAACTAGAGGCTCTACAGAGGTCTATGTGCACCTTCAACAATGAAAACTCTCCAACATTGTAGACTAGAATATAAGTCATGACTAAAATCTCTTTTTTGCAGATCTTGTACTGCTGACAATTTTTTCTGTTTACAGTTTCTCTCTATCTTCTATAGTTTTTTTCCAAAACACAAGAAGGGTAAAAATTGTCATTTAATGTATGGAACCACTAGTACCGATACATATTTTAAACAAAATAGTTCCTACGCATAGCTGTATATTTGTCAGTAGGTGAAATATTTAGGAAGTTTTGGCATTAAATGAAAGCTTGGGAATTTGGGATCACAGTAGAACCCTTGTTGAAAGTTTCTTTTGAATAATAAAAAAAAGTATATAAATTTATAATAAGAGGGCACACTTGTCCTGTTGTTCAGATCAGAAGTACCTGTTTTTGTATTATGAAACTTACGGGAACCAGTACGCTCTAATATGCAATTCAAGGTATGTTGAATTTTTCACCACAAGTCAGGATAACGTATAGATTTGACATGAAATGACTGCCACTTTATTTGAACTTAAGACAAAGTAGTCATCGCAGAATTTAACATAGAAAGCAATGTGGCTATGAATTATTGGTTTTATTTCTTAAGGTCAATAACTCCTTCAAGAAAATAACTGACAATTTCATATTTGCTGACCTATTTGGAGATCTTGTCTTGTTGATGATTTTTGCTTTTAAAAGTTTCTTTTGTAGTTTTCAAGATAATAGGCAAAAACACAAACAATTAGTAAAATTTGTCATTTAAGGACAATAACTCCTGCAAGGAGTAGACTGAAGATTTCGGCCAATTTGACTTATTTGTAGATCTTGACTTGCTGATCTTTTTTGCTATCAAAGTTTATGTCTATTTATTATAGTTTTCAAGATAATAGGCACACATGCCAAAAATGCTGCTATTATAGTTATTAAGAGTTTATTGAAAAGCTAATGATTTTAATTGTATTTAAAATAATACAAAACATGGCTTTATATCCAAATATATGTAAATAATACCTGTATGAAAAAATTACAGTACAATTTACTTTTTATTGTACAACAGGTATAATTTACATCAAAATTAATATGAATTTATATTTTTTTATGTAACATGTATATGCACATCATCTTCTTGATAAACGATTAACAAAATAGCAGCAGTATGACCAGATTAAGCATCCACCATTAGGTTTGTTATTCTCCCGTTATGTACTCCGACCTCATTCAGGAAAATGTAAATAAGACGCTATATTTATCATACATTAATAAAACTGAAACGTTCAAAAGCGTTTAGCATCTAGTGAAGATAATCACACATTTAAACCTCTGTCCTATCTGCGATAACCAACCCCTACGAAGGAATATGTTGACTTCCTTTCGGTGTTTCGGCAGCAAATCGGTCGAGTATTGCAGATACCGCATTAAACTTCTCTGTATTTCCTAAGAATTTCCACATCAGTAGTAAGATAGTATACGCCTCTTCGGTATTGACCTTTTCGTTTATTGTCTGTGTTTCCATGGCAATTTCGTCTAATCTCAGGGCACATAACGACTCAGATGATGTGGTCATAATGAAACTTTGAACAAGAGATTTGTATATTTTGAAAATATGATGCAAATTGAAGTCATCTGGATCTATTGTACATGGAAAGTCTTGTGGAAAAGTTCCATATTGGTTGATTTGGATGAAAAGCTGTCTCGCCTTTACTAGGAATGCTACTGCCTTCTTCTTTCTGTGTTTTAGTGATAGATAAATGTAGAAATCATAGCAAAGCGAACAGAGACTTTCAGCTAAAGGTCTCGGAATCAAAAGGTCTCCATATCGATCAGCAGTTTCACTTCCAACGATTTCGTGAAGCGGTATGGGACTGTGAAGCAAGCTGAGTTCTGCAGCAAGAGCTGTTCCAAGTGTTTCATCGGCATGAACACATAGCCACCATTGTTTGGTCAATCCAAAGCTGTTTGTAACTTCTGTAACGAACGCTACAAACGGAATATTATCTTCACATGTACTTACTAATAATCTATCCTCGTGGGCCTCTTGTATAATTTCTATAGCTACATCAAAACTATTAAGTTCCAAATATTTTGCAGCTTGCTTTATTTTGGCTGGTACCAACGCAAAGATTACAGAATGTCGGACACTTTTATGTTCATGAAAGTCCTCGATGTCCATACGTATATCTTGATAGATCTCATCTGCGTTTGTAACCATATTCTGGTAGGCTATGCTGTACAAGGCTATCAGAGGATTAGTACGGAGATTTTGAAGTTTTCCAAGGACACCTTGCAGTTGTTCATGTGTGAGATGGTCTATCATATTGTAAGTAGAAATGAAGTAATTTGGTATATTACCATGGTCTATTTGTCTAATCAAAGTGTCAACTAAATACAAAATGCACCCGCTTACTCTGGATGACCAATACTGTTGTGGAACTTGTTCGCAACATGAGAAGAACACACTTTTTAAATGAGAGGATTCAATTGATTCGTCTCCCATCAAGGTATGACTGACCAATGCCTTGAAAACTATAAAACAATATCTCTGTTCTTTGGATAATGCTTCATTTGCAAGTCGTCGCTCCACAACACCGAAACAGATTTGGAATTCTATATCAGGGTCGGGGCTGTTGGTGTGTGGATTACCAATATAATAAACGCCTTCACTTACAATGGAATCAATGAGGTCTGGTGATGGCCAGTTTGCGTCTCTAGACCGTGACCGCCAGGACGTGGCTTTTTCTGGCCAAAATGGGCTATATATACCAGAATATTTCTGGGAAAATAAATGAACAATCATCGGATTTTGATTTGCGTATTGGTCTTTGATCCGCTTTGTAACACTAGAATCTTCGAACTTATGATGTTTGTTAGGGATGTAGTAGGTCCTTCCACCTTCGGCTTTTCCTTTAAACCCCCATGTATCTGGAAATCGAGCTAGAAGTCTTGCATATCCCGGATGAGTATTGTTAGTACAGACAGTGACGTCAGATTGGTCAATAGTTCCGGAGTTCTTAAAGTTCTGAGGATATGCTATACAAGTGGTCAGTGAGCATATGATGCCAACGTCCACCCAGAATCCAAAACATTCATCCTCAGGTTTTCCGTCAAGTGTAACAAAAAATCCTTCGACAACATCTCCGATTGCTTTAAATTGAAATGGACTTTTGGATCCCCCTACAAAGTCGTCACTTGACGATTCGAGCGCAAAAGCCTGGTGACACATGCTATCTGCATACTTGATTGTAGCTTTCATGGGAATAAACTGTTTTATAAGAAATGTAAAATGAACTGCAGGTATTTCACTCCAAGGATCAATGTAATCCTCTAGAAACATATCTTGATGATTAGTTTCTGTAAAAACAAAATAAGCAGTCACAAAAACATTCGATATAGTAAATGTGTAAGTGGATTTCTCAGAAATGTATACTCGTATACTTATAAGGAAAATAATAAAGAAATACTAGTATATAGATATAAGAAGATGTGGTATGAGTGCCAATGAGGCAACTCTCCAACCAAGTCACAATTTTTAAAAGTAATCCATTATAGGTCAAAGTACGGCCTTCAACACGGAGCATTGGCTCACACCGAACATTAAGCTATAAAGGGCCCCAAAAATTACTAGTGTAAAACCATTCAAACAGAAAAACCAACGGTCTAATCGGTATAAAAACGAGAAACGAGAAACACTTATGAACCACATCAACAAAAGACAACCACTGAACATCAGGTTCCTGACTTAGGACAGGTGCAAACAAATGCAGCGGGTTTAAACGTTTTAATATGTCAACAAGACAGCAACACAACGACTTAAAAATGAATGTGGTCAAAGAATTGAAAAATTTGAAATTGGGCATTTACCTTTCATGGTCCAATATCCAAAATCTAAGTACATTGTTAGAATCAGCATATAAAAGAATACCAAGAATTCAATTTTTGATGAAATCAAACAAAGTTTAATTTTGGACCTCTATGTTGACCAATTTGATAAAGGAGCCCAAAATCCAAAATCTCTCAATACATGGTTAGATTCAGCATTTCAAAGAACCCCATAAATTAAATTTTTGTTGAAATCAAACAAATTTTAATTTTGGACCCTGATTTGGACCAACTTGAAAACTGGGCCCAAAAATCCTTTATTTAAATACAGGTTTAGATTCAGCATTTGAAAGAACCCAATATATATTTAATTTATGTTGAAATGAAACACAGTTTAATTTTATCCATATGCTTATTAATTTTCTGTTCAAAGGGAAATAACTCAAACTGAATAAATGATAAACAAATAGTTCTCTAAAATTAGATATGATTTAACCACTAAAAAATAGTTCTCCAAAAATTAGATATGATGTTTTACATTTGTATCTATTTTCAAATTATAATCAATAAAATTAGATATGATTCAAGAATTCAATTTTTGATGAAATTAAACAAAATTTTAATTTAGGACCCTTTGGACCTCAATGTGGTATTATCTAATTAATAATGAAAATAGATAATGGTTTAGATTCAGCATTTCAAAGAACCCTATATATATTCAATTTATGTTGAAATCAAACACAGTTTAATTTTGGACCCCGATTTGAACCAACTTGAAAACTGGGCCCAAAATCAGAAATCTAAATATATGTTTATTAATAGACAATATAAGCTTAGTTTTTAAAGGAGTTCACTTCATAAAAATATATATATATATAAATATAGCATTCAGAAAATTAGTCTTTACAAAATAACAACAAACCTACCACAAAATTCTTCAAACAATTTACCAAAGAAAAGTAGAAAAAAAATCCAAAATGTCATTTATCATTAATAAAATGTCTTTTAAAAATCAATAAAACGTATCTGTAAGTGTAATCAGACTATATATATATAATTTACCATTTCTGTTCAAAGGGAAATAACTCAATCACACAATAAGTACAACTTTTTACTATTAGAAAGGGATATAACTCAACAACGAAAAAAGCTAAAATCGTGAAAATTGAACTTGACCTTCATTTTGTCACAGGAAACAACATATCTAAATTTGTTTTCATGTTAATGAACGGACACCGTTTGGCAGCCGCCCGCCCGCCCACCGTACATCCCCAAATCAATAACCGATTTTTCCTTCGAAAATCCGGTTAAAAATGCTAAAGTAATCTTTCAATTTTTAAATCAACGTTCAGGAACCGAATAACACCTGCAATACGATTGACATCAGTATATAGTATACATACTGCGGTTTTTAGATGTAGTTATCAAAGAAATATTAGATAAAGTACCAAATTTTTAAATTGTTAATGTTTACTTGTCGGATTAATTGTTATGATGTACATGTCCTCTTTGATCTTGTTTATATAAGGTACATCTGTGTCGTATTCATCAAATTATAAAGCTGTAAATATTATTCTCCGTCTTTGGATATGTTCTTTGAATATGTCGGTGTTTACGAGTGGATATTTAATATAATATAAGTTCCAACAAGGTTGCAATCTTTAACGGTTTTATTATTGTTTATAACATAATACCTTCTAGATTTGGCAGACTTGGCATCATATTATATAGGTCAATAGATGTATATTCATCGTCCCGCAATTCAGATTCTGAAATAAAATAACATATACTGTAGATCCCGATGTGTATTTTCTTATATACAGATATATTGATTGATTGATTGATTACAGGTCAAAGTATATTACATGTATATTTTAGACGATAACATGTTGATATGATATCAACTTGAAACGTGTAGACCGACATGCTGAGGCGACTTCTAAAAATGCTAGCTCCATTCCACAGAAAGACCTATAACCCTACACTGACACATTATTTTAACTACAATCCGACCAGTCTTTACTCCTACTTAGTTAATAACGCGTGCTAAGCGAAGCAGAAATACCAATTTTTAATTTGAACAGACCGGATATCGAACCCACGACTTCTCGCATTCGGTTGTAAAAGGTTGTACTGTGCAGTTCCGTCCAAACAAGATCAAAGGTCAGAGATGACCATTTCAAAATTTATCAAACTTTCCTTGTTCAATGAGTGTATAAAAATATCAAACTATCAGCAAACAGGAAGTGTCTGCACTGCAGATGAAAAATTGCTTACCTGCTACAACTCAACATTATGAAGATGCAGACCAAATATAAAAGCATTCCCTTTCATAGAAGCCAAGAAAAAAATTGACGAAAGTTCTCCTTATACAGAAAAAAAATTGATGAACGTTTTCCTTGTACAATGAGTGTTGTAAAATTTCAGCTATCGGCTCACATGAAGTGGCTGCACGGCACATGTAAATATTGCTTACCCTCTACAACTGAACATTATTAAGCTGCAAACCAAATATAAAATCAGTTCTTTTTATAGAAGCCAATAACTTTTGACGAAAGATTCAAACTATTGACAAACAGGAAGTGACTGCACGGCATATGTAAAAATTTCTTACCGGCTACAACTCAATATTACAACATCATAAAGCTGCAGACCAAATATTATTAGTCACACAGTGTGCTAGTGAACAGTGTCAGTAAATTCCTTATTGGACCAGAGCGAGCAAAGCTCGAGCTCCAGATGGAATTTACTGAACCTGTTTATATCATATTGGGTCACTAGCACACTGTGTAACGAATTTATCTTACCGACTTTCTAATATGGGAAGTTTAGACGTAGTTGTAAACCTTGATATCACAACATTAAACAGAACATTCAATTATTTACAGTGAGAAAACCAGCGTCTCTAAGACATATTTTGTCTAAAAGCATGAAAATATTATAATTATGTCTGTTTGCAATATATGTTACTTTGAGAACAACACCGTTTGCTTCAAAGGACCATAACTCTAGAACTAACTGTGTGTTGGTTTAAAATTGGACGCTACACCACTACTAACCGTGTATTAAAATAAAACACGTCCACTGACCAAATATTAAATATACACGGTCTCCACGTGTACGCATTTAACTAATGATATTCCAAGAAGTGTATAGGAGGCAAGATAAAAAAAAATCATTCACTTTCATAGAACACAAGAAGAGTTTGAAGAAAGCTTTCTACCCAAAGTCTTTTGGGCGGATGGACGGAGTGGAGCGGTTACTAGTACAAAAATAAGAAGATGTGGTATAATTGCCAATGAGACAACTATCAACCAGAGTTAAAATGAAGTGGATGTAAGCAATTATAGGCAACCGTACGGCCTTCAACAATGAGAAAAACCAATACTGTATAGTCGGCTATAAAGGCCCCGACATGAAGATGTGAAACAAATCAGACGAGAAAACCAACGGTCAAATTTATAACAAATTAATTTACGAAAAACAAATATGACAGACATGAACCAACGACTATCACTGAACTACAGGCTCCTGACTTGGGACAGGCACATCAATAATGTGGCGTGGTTAAACATGTTTGTGAACGCTCCACCCCCACCCCCCCCCCCCCCCCCCCCCCCCCCTCCCACCTAACCTGGAACAGTGATGTAACAGCACCACTAGACCACTAGACCTGCTTTCGTTTTTGGTGAAGCAGGTAAAAATAATACACGTTTAATAACGTGATTGAAAAGAAACTTTACACGGAGTTGTAATTTAGTAGTGTATGGTGCATGATTTACACTTTTTTTCTTCTTATTATGGCTTGTTGTGTGCTTTGTGCTAATCTTATGAGTCTATTTCCAATTTATTTTTTTTACAGTTTTTTCTTGCAATTTTCTGTTATCCCAATTTCCCAGGTTATGGGATGATTGAGAGCTCACAAATATGGAAAACCCGTCCCATTCTTTCTGTGACTGTACCAAGTCAGGAGCCTGTAGTTCAGTGGAAACATACTTAGTAATATAAACGTATGCTACCGATTTCACAGCGTATGAGCAGATATATTATTATTTTATAAATTTTACAGCAAAGAAATACATTTTACATATCTTTCATTTGGGATGGCTTTTAGGTATTTTGAATAAAATTCATAATTATTGGGGGAAAAAACATCATGTTAAGAGGAAGTTGAAAATATGAAAAATTAGATGTAATTAGTTACTGATAAAAAGCGGAAAACACTTATTTCCAGTGCATACGAAAGAAGATTAAATCACAGTACTTGTGAACTTAACTCTAGGTAGTATAAAAATATTTCCTTGTCTTCATATACACACATAGGAGATTTCGTATTCGTTCATGTTGATAGATATTTATTTAATATTGTTTTGTGACTTAAACCATACATAAATCAATTTATTTATTTTTATGTGTGAAATTAAAAATTAATATTATAAAGTTCGGATTGTTTTCATTTCAGGCAGCTACCAAAAAATATTGGAAATACCAAAATCGCGTACCGTAATCACCAATGCATTTTTGTTTTGCATTCTTAGGCATTCCAATAGAAAATGTTATGTAACTTTTTTAACGATGTGCGTGTGTTTTGTGTACATTACGAGTATTTTCATAAGTTGCTTGCAAAAAATGATTCTTCATGATGAAATTTGAAAATTGGGTGATCTTTCCTTTTCGTCAGTTTTAGCTGTATTCGTCAAACAAAGCGGCATAACTCCGATCTTATAATAAAAATAAGCTTGCTTTGTACTGGACCGATGTCCTAAGCCGGACCCTTTTAAGTGCATGCTCAGGACTTTCATGATACTTAACACCGATGGCTTCGTGTTTAACAAAAACTTGCAGATACATAAAACCGAGGCATCTTGTTTAACCAACACTTTCATGATACTTCATAAGTGCCACCCTTGCATGTGCAAGACATAATAGTGTCCTGTGAAAAAGTGTCCGCCTGGACAGTTTTTCACAGAATTAAAAGTATTAAAAAATGTCCATTGCCATGAAGTTTTGTCTCTTAAGTGGGCAGAATTTTACAGCAACAGTTATGAAATAGTGTCCTCCCACAGGAGCAGTTGATATTCAATTATGTCCTCCAAGGGAAGTAAATACAAAGGTCATTAAAATGTTTTATTGTACTTGAATTTTAATTTATTTAGAAAGGTGTATTAGAAATAGATGAATTTGAACATAAAAATGGATGGCAGTGAATACCGACAAATTTAAAACTATCTAAGTTCAAAGAAATGCCCCTAAAAGTTCAATGAAAATGTAAGGCGAACAAGTAGAAGAAAATGTCAAAATTATTAAATCAAATTGGAGGAGTTATATCATATTTATAAGGACAATTGTGTCAGGGACAAATTAAAATAAGTAAATATCGTAAATGGACAGTATTTACTATGAAAAAATGTCCAGAGTAAAAAAATGCTCAAGATTAGTTACAGACACAAAAGAATGAGATGGATTTAAAATTTTATTTCATGGGGGACATAAATAAATCCTACATTATCACATTTACTGTTCAAAGACCAAATTTAATGGTAAAAAGTGTCCAGTGACACTTTTTCACAGCTTATGACATTTTTACATAGGTTAATTGTGCCCGGGACACATTAAAAAAGTAAATATAGTCCATGGACAGTATTTACTATGAAAAAATGTCCAGCGGACATTATTACATGGGGGACATTATAAAATCCTACACAATAACCAATCATGATACTTATATAATCAAATAATGTTTCGTGGTTAACCAAAACTTTCATGATACTTAAGACCGACGGCTTCGTGTTCATGATACTTAACACAACCGAACATTTCATGATACTTAACATAGATGGGTTCGTGGTTAATCAAAACTTTCATGATACTTAACACCGATGGCTTTGTGTTCATGATAAATAACACAACCGAACATTTCATGATACTTAACACCGATGGGTTCGTGGTTAATCAAAACTTTCATGATACTTAACACCGAAGGTTTCGTGTTTAACCAACACTTTTATCACACTTAACACCGATAGGTTAGTTTTCATGATACTTAACACAACCAGAACTTTCATGATACCTAACGATAATGACTTCTTGTTAAATTAAAATTTCAAAATTCTACCGATGACTACATGTTTAACCAAAACTTTAATGATAATTGAATTTCACTCATATGGCTTCGTGTTTAACCAAAACTTTAAATGATATTACACATATGGCTTCGTGTTTAATCAAAACTTTAATGATATTACACACATGGCTTCGTGTTTATTCAAAACTTCAATGATATCACACACATGGCTTCGAGTTTATTCAAAACTACAATGATATCACATACATGGCTTCGTGTTTATTCAAAACTTCACTGATATCACACATTTAACTTAGTGGTCAACATAAACTTTAATGATGCTTAACACCGATGGCTTAAGTGTATAACCAAAACTTTCTTGAGATGGTTAAAATCTTCTTAAGAACCTAAATACGATGCTAATGAAGACAAAGGCACCTTAAAAGTGTTTTCAAAATCTTTTGTGGCAACCTTCGCATAAGTGAGTCGAAACTTCGTTATAAAAACACACATATTTAATGCTATAGTGGAGCAAAAATTTTGCTTTTATATGTACAATCTTACAATTCATGTCAAATAGATGAAACATCTTTCACAATTTGTACTCATTTCTAACATCATTATTTGTATTGTATATGCTTACCTTTTTGGGGTATAGGTCTCATGCTGACATAATGAAGTTCTCCAACGTGACCTAGATACAGTGGATCTTGTTTTGCAGAATCTTTGAACAAGGGATGTAAAGTAGTCCATTTCTTTTCGTCCTCTCCGTTTATAATTGTTATATTTCTTTTTGTTACCTGTACAAAAAAGTAAACAATATTCAAATATATCAAACCATAAATTATCCTTTAACATACTTAATATTTTTTGAATGTATCATATTTTTTACTCATTCAACCTAAAAATGAATCACTAATTTATATAAAAAAAAAGCTTAATGATGTTTAACATAGTTTAAAACAAAACAAAATGGTGCGTTGGTGGTTTGTGCCACAAGATTGTGTATGCGTCTAGTGTGAGTTGGAGCCAAAGGCTCTTATACCACCGCTGGCTAGCCTGCTTTGCAGGTGAAAGAAAGCCGAGTGAGTAAGTCTTTTTGCCAGTACATAGCCTCTACACTATTCAAGACTTCTGCAATGCATCCTTGCGACAGCACACTGTAACTAGGGTCCAGCATCCTAGGCATAATTGTAGAGGATCTCGGAGCAGCAAGGGCCTCAGAAATGCAGTGTGTAGGCCCACCGGTGCGTTGACATGCCCTTGCACTCATCAACCTTGCCCCAGTTATGGAAAAATAGCCGGATAGATGGGAGTCGTAAGCCAAGAAAGGCAACCCATATAGGAGAAGCAATAACTCCAAAATCAAACCGGTTAGATAAGGCTCGTAAGTCATCGTAGACAGCTTATCTAGAGGAAGGATACATCGAGAACAAAATTCCTGGCCCTCCAGGTTAGGGGTTGAGCGCAAGACCAACTATCTCGCCTTGTAAAAATTCACAGTTACAGAAACATTGACGAACATCGTCAATGGCCTATGCTCCCCGGAGGAGCCAATGGCCTAAGTAAGTAAGTAAGTAAGTAAGTAAAAACAAAATTACAAATTTTTTGTGTTGTAAATTATTCTGTCCTTTGAATTTTTCTCTGATACACCAACATTCTCACATTCATTTGACATAATCGAAAGTACATTCTTCATATGATTATAAACCTACATTTGATATTGCATGTAACATGAGATGATCTCCCCATTGTCCTTCTTGACTCATCCTGGATAGATAATCTTCCCATGATTCAGCATCAAGGAACAAACAGAAAGGTGTGCCGTCTTCACTGTTCGGGTTAGACTCAAGGAACTTGGTACATGCTTGTCGGAGAGCGAAGGGACTGGTATTACAATCATCCAGAAGTTCAAGTTGATCAATGACAGCGGCAAACATACAGTTTCCGTCTGGTACTACATTCCTGATCTCAAAACCTTTCTCACGACCAGTTTTAATCATTGCTCTTAATAACTTCATAAAGTTTCCATCACAATCTTTACGACCACAACCTGAAAGGGAATAATTGTGTGAATGGCTTACTGGATGGAAACGTTAAATAGAAATATCAATAAAGTTCATTGCACAAGTAGATCTGAATAAAAAACATTATGAAATATATAAAGAGATATTATAAAAAGTTTAGGAAAATAGTAGTAAGTGTCTTAATAAGACCACATTCCTACGATAAATTTGTAAATAATGAAAGATTTCGAACATTGCTTTTATTTCTCGTCATCTGTTAACAGTCACAGGAAGGTATTCAACAACGACCAGGATAAAAACACATAGACACTGATATTCACCAATTACCATTGCAAATGTTCTTTAAAGTAAATATTTTATTCAGATGTTATCAATTATTTACCCTCCCCCCTTAATATCTTAATTCAAGAAAAGGTGGCTAAAGGCTTAAAGTATCAAAAGCCAGTTGTATGGGATCTCATGTACAAAAGTATTTTCAGGATTACAATCTGGTTGGTTGCCCGGTCAAAATTATATTTAAATGAAGCATAGCACTGTATATCAATGTAAAATCCCGCCTTTTATATATTGTTACCTGTACATGTGTGTTTATATGCTCCCTGTGAGGACTGTCTTCTAATTGATGATTTTTTCTCCTTTGACTTTCTAATTACTGAAGAGTTGGTACTTTCTTTTTGGAGCTTTGTAGGTTCAGTTACTGAAGAGTTGGTACTGTCTTGTTGGAGTTTTGTAGGTTCAGTTTTACGTTGCTTTTCTGTAAAAGGCGATGCATATGGTCATTTTGAATAAATAAATCCTACAACTATAACGAAATTACAAACGTTATCAACATTACATGTAAAACAAAAATATCAAGTCTGGAGAATGCACACGAACCTTAATTGGTACACACAAAATCAATCTTCGACTTAAGAATTTTAAAAAATACTTCTTTCTGTAATTTTATTGTGTGTAAAAGAGTTGACCGAGGCACATTTGTATCAAGCGCGGAAGCAGAATTGCTTTATACTAAAAATGTGCGCAGTATTAACGCTTCCACAACCCTATAACATTACAGAAAGAAGCATTCAATTCTTCATTTGTTTCGGTTCTTATACATCAGTGGCTTTCAAACATTCCGCTTTGATCGTTCCTAGTAAAGGTAAATCCAGAAAAGTGCTTCAGAAGCATGAAATTTATAACGTGTTGTTTTCATTTTTTATAATTACATTTTTATGCTACAACCATGAAATTACGAGTTATATCAAATTTTTCGTTTCTTTTCTTATGCATTGTTGTGACGTTGTCATAGGAAAAACCGTTTAACGTGCTATCATGATTGTTGCATTTTATTGGGAAATAAAATCAAATTTTGGAAAGCCTCTTAATTGTTGTCATACTAGTACCTTAAAAGAGCCACAGTCAAAATTTTCTTTTCTGTACACATGCATTCACTTTTAATGAAATAACATCATACATACGACAGCTTTGTACAGAAATGTCGTTAGATACATGGCAAGGTTTATGCCAGATCTTACCAGTACTTGAATGAGATTTCTCACCGTCGATTTCCAAATCGTCTTCATCTTCATCTATTCCCGTATTGTTTAATTTGGTGTCTTTCAGTCTCATTTCGAATATTGTTTGACCTTGAAGTAAGAAGGAAAGAAATTTAACAAACGTATTTTGGTTCAATTTGACCTTGAAAGTAAAAAATGAAAGAAACGTTTTTTGGTTCAAATTTGACCTTGAAAGTAAGAAAGGAAGAAATGGAGGAAACGTATTTTGGTTACAATTTGAACTTGAAAGTTAGAAATATTCAAATTTTGGTTAAAATTTGACCTTGAAAGTCAGGAGGAAAGATATGTTACAAACGTTTTTCTGCTCAAAAATGACGTCAAAGAGTCTTCAATATAAGTTTAAAAAACATCGAAATATTTCAATTATTTCCAAGTTAAAGAGAAATAAAACGGCTTTATTTGATTCATGAATATTTCTGCCGTTTGTTATTGTATATATGTTTTCATGAACATTATTCTCCCGACTTTGGTAGTGTTTTCCCTCATTTCATCCGTTCTCTGGATGGATGTCGGTTTTTCGTTGGGTTCTATTATGTTTATTTCACTGTTATGTTCTATTTTCAATATATTTTCGTTGGAAAGATTTTAAAAATTAAGAATAAAAAAAGTTTAAACATACATTTGTATTTGTTAAATTATAATTCCCTTTTACTTTGATATGTGCATGGATCTTTTATTCCAGCAAATAACACGGCAAACAATAGTATACGTTACCTTCTGACCGAAGACCCACGGAGTTGAACGTTGTCCGAAAAGGATTACATTGTGTCATCGGTGGTTTAGTTGGTCGACTTTGAAGACTCTCTTGTTCTAAACTGTGGTTGTTTGGTTTTATTTCGTGAATTTGAAAACTCCCTTGTTCTAAACTGTGGTTGTTTGGTTTTATTTCGTGACTTTGAAGACTCTCTTGTTCTAAACTGTGGTTGTTTGGTTTTATTTCGTGACTTTGAAGACTCCCTTGTTCTAAACTGTGGTTGTTTGGTTTTATTTCGTGACTTTGAAGACTCCTTTGTTCTAAACTGTGATTGTTTGGTTTTATTTCTTGACTTTGAAGACTCTCTTGTTCTAAACTGTGGTTGTTTGGTTTTATTTCGTGAATTTGAAGACTCCCTTGTTCTAAACTGTGGTTGTTTGGTTTTATTTCGTGACTTTGAAGACTCCCTTGTTCTAAAATGTGATTGTTTGGTTTTATTTCGTGACTTTGAAGACTCCTTTGTTCTAAACTGTGATCGTTTGGTTTTATTTCTTGACTTTGAAGACTCTCTTGTTCTAAACTGTGATTGTTAAGTTGTATTTCCCGACTTTGAAGGTTTCCTTGATCTAAAGTGTGATTATTTGAAGATTTAAGTAAATCTGGTTTACGGAAGAAGTCGGACATCCTAGGCGTATATTCTGTTGTGCTTTCTTCCACTTCTGCGTTAGGGTGGCAATTTAATTTGTTTTTTCTTTCAATTTCATCGTCGTCGTATTTAAAAAAAATGGCTTGACTGACTTTTTCTTTGGATTTCACGGTTTTCTCATGTTGCACTAATGATGTGGCGTTATCTGATATCGAATCAACCTTAAGACCCTCTTCTGTTGAAGGCTGTGGTGCGCTGGTATTGAGTTTGAGTTCAAAACTTAGTGTTATGGTGTCAGCTGTATTTGAATTGTTAAACCTCTGGTCCTCAGTCACATGACTATATGTATCTGCTGTTTGTACAGAAGGTTTTGGTATTACTGTCTTGGGGCTGTGATTTATGGTCGTTATATTCCTCTGTTGAATATCAGATCGTTGGTTGTCAGATTTATTCACTGTATCAGTATCATTCGTAGTTGCAATGAAAGGTTTTGATGTTGAATAAAAATTCCCTCTCTTTGAGTTGTCACATTGATCCATGTCAGAACGGTCAAATGTATTTTTTGTTTGTATATTAGTTTCTGTTGGAGGAATTTTTCTTTCGGTATCATTGTTCTGTTCCTTTGGGTATACGTTTGCGAATTTTTTAATCGGCAAATGATTCTGACCTGACGGTGTGAATTTATTTTTACAAGTTAAAAATTCACCGAAGTCAGTTTGGTCATCTTCGTCATCATCAGAACAATTATTGAAATACAATCTGCCTGTAACTGGTTTTGTCTCGTCTGTCACGAAAGAAGGGTACGCTTGTAGATTCTTGTATTCATCAGGGTTTTCACTTTTCAAGTCATTCTTAAACGTGAGAGAGACAAATCTTTCGTCATCTATTTCGTCAATTGACCCATTTTCAAAGTACGAACTTGACGATAAAGTCGAAGTAGTACTGTTTGAGCTATTAAGACGATAATTATCTTTAACTTCAGGTTGCCATTTTCGATATAGGGGATGAGGTGAAGAAGTGTCATTTTTTGTCAGCAAATTGTTCCAACAATGAAAAGATTCATTTTCCAAATTAATATGTTCTTCGTGATTACCTTCATTATTGGGTAACTTATTAACTTTATTTGTCCTTAAAGCATTTGGTTGTATACGGTTTATATGTGTAAGATGGTTAATCGGAGGTTCATCTTCATCACTACAACTTTCAACATATTCGTTGCCGTTCGGAAAGAAATCAGAGGATCTTTTAAACTTGCCGGATGAAACAGGTCGGACATTATTTACAACTGTGAGATCATTCTTTGAGTCGCCGACATCATCGCTGTCATTGATTCCATCTACAGTCTTAAAGTTGTTTTTGAAGAACGGTGTTTGATTTTTATACTGAATGGGTGTCCTCTGACTCCTACGTGACTTTGGCCGATTTTCTTTGACCTTGTTTACAAATGTCAGATGTTTTCCTTGGTTACAATCATCATCACTACTATCAGATAATAATCCATTGTCATAGAACGGATTCCTGTTTATATTCGGGAACGTCTCTCTGTGTACTTGGTGATGACGGAGAATATTATCCATTATTTTGTTTTTTCATCACTACGTTTACTTCTGTAATTCTTAATCCATGTTCCATGTACTATGTTTTCTAGATCCTATAACCATATAAAAAAAATTCAAACTTTTTTTCTTATTTCACTTTGTAATTGATAGATTGATTGCATATTACTAAGTTTTAATAAATGCATATGCATAAAAAGTGATGTGGCTGTACATCAATGAAACAGCAATCCAACGACACAATTAAAAAAAGACATCTAGAGGGCAACAATCAGCCTTCAACAATGATACTGGAAGAAAAACTTATAATCTGAATTTTTTAATGTTTGAAATGCTAAAACGTAATATTTTAAGAATAACAAGAATGTTTCCATAGTACACGGATGCCCCACTTGCACTATCATTTTCTATGTTCAGTGGACCATGAAATTGGGGTTAAAACTATAATTTGGCATTAAAATTAGAAAGATCATATCATAGGGAACATGTGTACTAAGTTTCAAGTTGATTGGACTACAACTTCATCAAAAACTACCTTGACCAAAAACTTTAACCTGAAGCGGGACAGACGGACGGACGAACGGACGCACAGACCGAAAAACATAATGCCCCTAGGTGGGGCATAAAAATCAGACGATCTTAAATGTATATTGCAGTTTGTTAAAAAACAACTTTAAGTATAAAACTCCACAAATATAAGCAATAAAACTAATACATGCAACGTCAAGAGTTAAACAGTTGAAACAATGCATATAATTGTGTTTTCAAACTTATTTCTGGTTTTAGAATAGAATATAAGTGAATATACATACTCAAAAGGAGTATCAAAGATTCTATACAATCACAGACAATATATAATCACAGACAATATATAATCACAGACAATATATAATCACAGACAATATATAATTAGGGTGCCTTATCATTTTATTACTCTCCATGACTAAGTTTTTAGAGAACCCAGTTTTAAAAGTTTTTGCTGTGTAGGAAGTTCAACTCTCACAATCGAGTGATACTTTTGTGATAGTCTTTTAAAAAGCAGCATCAGCTAAACGTTCGAAGCGATGGAGTCCTACATAATGTACCAATTGTACAATCTGGAACTCATTACAATCAATGTGAATCTACGGACATCGGGAATTATCAAATTCATTGACACCTAAAACATTAGTTTCTGGAACAATTACAATTCCAATTTGATGTTTTGAAAATTTAGAGGTTCTTGAAAGCATTTACTTTTATACATTTGTAAAACTAAATAGCATTTGACACAATCAACACCCAACTATATTGTATATGGTGAGTTAGGATTTTTTTCTATGTCACTACAAATGAATTTAAGATAAGTATGATAATTTTTTGGTGTAGACTGGTTATATAATATAGAGGAAATGAAACAAAATTTTCCTCATTATTATATAAAATGTTAAATGTTTACTTCACAGATTATGACTATAAATATATGTGGTTAAAAGTTATAAAGAATAATTATATGATTGTGGTATGTCAAAAATTTGGCAGAAGCAAACTGATTTTCGTCAATATGGATTTCAAAATGTGTTGAACAGAAACTTAAAGATCAATTTATACAATTTTGGTATCAAGAAATGTTCGAAGTCCCCTAAGGCATTGTGCTAAAGAATATTCAAAAGTCATTTTTGTTTTGAAAAATATATTCAGAATGATCACCGTAATATATGTACATCACATGGTAATTAAGATGTGGTAGTAACCGATTGCCAGTCGAGACTGAATGCGCAATTTACCAAGAAGTCGGTGGTGTGTCCGCTCTGTGACTCGATGGACATCAGTGACGAATACCACTATATTTTGCCATGTAGTTATTTTAATAATGCTAACACAAATCTGCTTATTTTGATTCATTGCACACTTGATATAAAAGGGTACTATGGTCTGCCAGTGAGACAACCGTACTGACGTACACCATAGATCAACAGGTCACTGTATTGTTTCTAGGGATGATCAAACCCCGTGAAACCGTAATTAGTGTAAACTGTTCGAGGCTCCTAAACAGCAGAAAGTATAACAAGTAAAAACGGACGCCTTACGCCAACGACTTTCGAGTTTAAGCTTAATATATCGTTCAATATAAGGGAAGCGTTCCATATGACACCCTCCAAAAACGTAACTAGATGACACTTTATAGTTTATTCCTTCGTATTGCCATATGGAAGTATTTCTCCCTTGCATACATGCATTATTAATGAGAAGACATAATCTCTATTATCATATATTCGAAACTGAAAGTAAACTGTGTGATGAATTATCATCATGTACTTTCGATTTACACACAAAATATAAATTAATTAATGTTTATGACTAAATAATGATATATATAAAAGTCAAAAGAAATACTTTACCAATTGTTGAGCAAAAATTAAATCAAATCTTACATAAAGTTTCCTTGTATTAAACTGAAAGGAATGTTAAAACTAGAAATCCCTAGACAAGATTTGTTACTATTTTTAGTCATAAGGAAAAACATCAAGGTTAAACGACTAAACACCAAAAATTACATTCACACAAACGTACATAAAGTTACATTTTAATTTTACACAATTATATTACTTACATGTACAAACATAAATTTTATTTATCTTTATATGAAGGTATCCGTAAGGGGGCGAACTTAGGCCTAAAAACGGCAAACTGAAAAGGCACTTAATTGTTATCAGCTATTCTCTACCACTACTCGTTTTAGGCCGGAACAGTCCGGCTTTAAAAATGTGATCTATATATAAAACCCAACACCCATTATTTTCAAATACATTTTGAGTAGTTTGTTGCATAAAAGAATCATTCCATCATGAACTCATTCCTTTTCATTTTAGATAAAAAAAAAAAAAAAAAGACTGATAATCAGGACGTCTGATGATTGCATTTTTCTCTTTTGAATTTCAGAGATCAGACTTCACCTCGGCACTTCCATCTGCGATTCGCAAGCTACATTACACTTTCATTCTTTTCACAACATTGACACTGCTTCACACTTTGATTTTCCAGTATTTGTCTTTGGTCGTTTCTAGTGTCTGCAAATTTAAAACATGCAGAATTTAAAGCTCTTCGAACAAGACAAATGTAGTATATGTGATTTTGGTCCAATGTTGTACTTTGTATACCTAATATCACTTTTCTTTGGAAATACTTACAATGTAAGACTAAATACCTTCAGACATTATTGTATAGACACCTGTCTATTGTTGAAAACTGTACGTTGCCCTCTATAGATGTCTTTTATTTATCTTTGTTTTAGTGTTGCTGTCTCATTGATGTACACCCAAAATCTTAATTATATTCGTATTAGTAAGGAGACGCCATTGTATATTACAACTTTACGCAACTCGAAAATATTCACAGACATGAAGACGTACATTTACAATAAGAAGACGTACATTTACAATAACATTAAATTTAAGAACATAACTGACTGTGTTATATATTCCTTTAAAATGTGGCAGGGTTAAACATGTTTGTGTACTCATATATAACTGTAAGGTATATAGCAATATATATTTGATTTATCAAAAACAAAATTAATGTTAGTACCGACAAGGAAAAAAAACAATATTTCACTACAGTCTGAAATTGATAACCTTAAGAATAAGTTAATTCACAGGATCAATGAGTTTACATGGATCGTAACAAAATGTACGGACTCTTTAAACAACATCACCACAAAAGTTATGATGTGATATCCTGTTTTACATGTAATAAGAATTTCACAGCTACAACCAAACTTCCTCACTAAATATTTGTATCTATGGAAGAATTTAGTAAAAGTTTCAATTAATTTGTGGATACGAAATCATTGACTTAATAATTTACTAGTTATACATAATTTAATGCAATTGAAATCTTAAACGCGACTACAGACACGTGTATATAGAACAAGTTGTGGTAATAAGGAACATCACCGTCCAAAAAGGGAAAATTAACAACAGGAATTCTTGTATATATTTTCCCGTGTGAACCTGAAATATCCAAATCTATAAAAGACAATGATTGCTGTCTGTATTATATTTATTTAAAGAAAGTTCCCTTGGGTGAATTATCGCAGTGAAATTATAGAATTCGTAATTATTTAAAGCAAAAATATAACCAAGTTACGGTAAAGTGTTTTTGAATATATCAACTAAATGATCTTTACTGAGTTTGGCCATTAACTGTGATAAATATCAATACAGGAACAAGTCTGCTATTGATGGGGAGGAATGGTGCACATAGGAATGCCCACAACCTGCTGATAAACTTTATTGCCAAAACGTACATAGATGTTGTCAAGGAGAAATTTACAGCTTTGATCATCTCATAGCATATTTCCCTTTTTTTTTATTACGGAAGAATGATTTATTTGACTGGCAGCAATTAAATTTGCAATCCGAATTTTGTCGAGCCTGCAACTTTTGTCGCAGAAAGCTCGACATAGGGATAGTGATCCAGCGGCGGCGGCTACGGCGGCGTTAGCTAACTTCTTAAAAGCTTTATATTTTAGAAGCTAGAAGACCTGGATGCTTCATACTTTGTATATAGATGCCTTATGTTACGAAGTTTCCGTCTGTCATATGTCCATTGTCCTTGACCTCATTTTCATGGTTCAGTGACTACTTGAAAAAAAGTCAACTTTTTTTGTAATGTTAATTTCTTTCTTATTATGAGTAATAGGATAACTTTATTTAGTATGTGCGTACCTTGCAAGGTCCTCATGCCCGTCAGATAATTTTCATTTGACCTCGACCTCATTTCATGGATCGGTGAACAAGGTTAAGTTTTCGTGGTCAAGTCCATATATCAGATACTATAAGCAGTAGGTCTACTATATTTGGTATATGGAATGATTGTAAGGTGTACATGTCCAACTGGTAGGTGTCATCTGACCTTGAAGTTTTTGAGTTTTGGTCTTTTTTCTAATACTATATGCAATAGGTCAACTATATTTGGTGTATGGAAATATTTTATGATGTACATGTCAGTCTCGTAGGTTTTATTTGACCTTGACCTCATTTTCACGATTCATTTCTCAGTGTTAAGTTTTTGTGTTTTGGTCTGTTTTTCTTCAACAATAAGCAATAGATCAACTATATTTGTTGTATGGAAGGATTGTAAGGTGTATATGTCTGTCTGGCAAGTATCATCTGACCTTGACCTCATTTTCATGGTTCATTGGTCAATGTTAAGTTTTCGTGGTTAAGTTTGTTTCTTAGATACTATGAGCAATATGTCAACTATACTTAATGCATAAATTGATTGTAAGGTTTACATGTCTGTCTGGCAAGGTTTATCTGACTTGACCTCATGTTCATGGTTCATTGGTCAATGTTAAGTTTTCTTGGTTAAGACTGTTTCTTAGAAACTATAAGCAATAGGTCAACTATGTTTGGTTCATAATATGGAAAGCCTCAGCTGTCATATATTAGAGATTTACAAAACGTTATGCTGAAGCTTAAAATGTAAAGTTAAGACAGCGTGATGTTGAATTGAGTCATCAAAATGCTAACTCAAAATTACTATATGCTAAGTTGAATCTGCGCAATGTTGACTTGCAATGACAAGTGCTTTAATCGTGATAGTATAATGATAAGTCACGATATTGTGATGATATGCCAAACACACCTAACGTTGGGTTTACAGTACATGATATGAAGTTGACGTTGCATGATGTTAGCTTGCAGATGAAAACTGCTCAGTCATACACATCGACAGCTATGATAACAAATAAAATGAATAGCTAAAATGTATGGTGCTGACTTGTTATTAATAAATGTTGAGCTGAGATAGTACGATGTTATATCATTGTGATATTACGATTGGTCTATCATGCAATCTGTTGATTTAAAACACCATGATGCACAGTTGAAAGTACATGATGTTAAGTTAAGATAACACGATGCTACACCACTATATTGAAACGAAAGGTTTACTATACAATTTTTTGACTTAAAATAACACGATGCAACGTGTTAAGATAAGATGATCACTTGAAACTAAAGGACGTACAGTTGAAATTTTGTAATGTTAAGCTACGATAGCACGATGTTATATCATTATAATGTCACAATAGGCTTATTATACAATTTGCTTATTTAAAACTACACAGCGTACAGTTGAAAGTACGTGATGTTAAGCTAAGATAGCACGTTGTTATATCATTAGAATGTCACGATAGGCTTACCACACAATATGCTTATTTAAAACTACATGACTTTCAGTTGAAACTAGGTGATGTTTAGCTAAGATAGCATGTTGTTATATCATTTGAATGTCACGATAGGCTTACCATACAATATGCTCATTTAAAACTACACAACGTACAGTTGAAAGTATGTGATGTTGAGCTATGATAACACGATGTTATATCATAATAATATCACGATAGGCTTGCCATACAATATGCTCATTCAAAACTACACGACGTACAGTTGAAAGTACGTGTTGTTGAGCTAAGATAGCACGATGTTATATCATTATGACATTACGAGAGGCTTATCATACAATGTGTTGACTTGAAACTACACGATGTAAATTTGAAGTAGTTTGGTCTTGACTTGAAACAGTAAAATGTTAAGTTATAAAAACAGAACGTAAAGTCAAAATAAAACACTGATAGGATGACATATACTTGTGCAGAATTGAAGATTGTTGGTGTTGACTTCGAATATAGTACAAATATTAGATCGTTTTATGTTAAATTGAAAGACAATAACGATGCGTAAAACATTACAGAATTATGTGAATTGAAACTGCAATTCTATGGAAAAGAATGAGGGACAAATCCCCAGGATTTTTTCTTCTTCATTTGCAAGTTGATGAATATTAATGAAATTTAAGTCAAGAGGCAAAATGATATACAAAGAAAGTTTTTCATAAATTCATAAAGCAAAAGAATTACCCATCGCTATATATTACACTTGAATACAGTTTTGCCGTATATTTTACATGTTTTGTTTGGATTTTTTTTTATGATTAAAAACCAGACTTTTTTATGAACAATATTTAAGAAAATATTTATCTATGTTGTGTGTTAATATATTATACAACATAATATTGTGCTTATAAGACTTATGACTGTGAGGGTCAAATTTTACTCATATAAAATCACATCTATGTAAGAGTTATCGGAGAATTTGTATTTACCACTCCCGTTTTCCACGAAATAGAACATAAGAATCTGGAGTCTTAATCTTAAAAAACAAAGATCAACTGATATGACAAAAAATACGCTTTAGTAGGACTGAGAGGGTTAGAGCTATATCAGAATGCGACCCATAACACACTTACATATTCTCGTCCTTATATGCATGTAATATTTGCCACTGTACACTAAATACAAATACATTTTTATCAATTCTTTTTTATGAAAAGGAGCCTATTCTTAGCACGTTCATCGATTTGACACCCTGTAATTCATATTTTTTGGGAGTTCCTCGAAAATTATAAAACATTCCTTCTTTATTT